AATCAATATAAAATCATACTACATAAACATAACTTATATTAAAAGATGGTGAATCTTCCAATATCAACTGCCAGCTGAATGATGCCCACAAGCCCACATTCAACAACAGAACCTCGGTTGGAGGCAACGTTCCCTCTAAGCTGAGTTAGTGTGAGCTAGCTCACACTAACTCAGCTTAGAGGGAACAATGGTTGGAGGTGCCGTTGGTACTGTCGGTACCAATAATGGTACAGTTGTTGGCACAGTTGGTAATCCAACCAGGGCCAGGGCCATACAATCGAGGCAGCACCCTACTTAAAAGCCTGGAAGAAGAGCTCCGTTTTACAGGCCCTGCAGAACTGTAAAAGGTCCTGCAGGGCCCTGATGTCCTCTGGGAGCTCATTCCACCAGTGAGGGGCCACCACAGAGAAGGCCCTGGCCCTCGTCGAAGTCCGCCTGGCCTCTTTAGGCCCCAGAAGAACCAGGCGATTTGGGGAGCCCGATCTTAGTGCTCGCTGGGGTACATGTGGGGAAAGGCGGTAAGCAGGTCCCTGGCCATACAGGGCTTTAAAGGTAACAACCAGCACCTTGAACCGTATCCGGCAGCCAGTGAAGGGTTTTTAGGGTGGGCTGGATGTGTTCCCACATAGGAAGACACAACAGCAGCCTTGCCGCTGCATTCTGCACCAGCTGCAGCTTCCGGATTTGGGACACGGGCAGGCTCATTACAGTAACCCAATCTTGAGGTGACCAATGCATGGATCACCGTTGCTAGGTAATTGCGTTCAAGGAAGGGAACCAACTGCTCAATCAGCCGTAGATGGTAAAAGGCCGACCTGGCAGTGGCTGCTACCTGGGCCTCCATCATTAGGGAGGTATCCAGGAGCACTCCCAAACTCCTAACCTCTGGCGCTGGCACCAATGGCACCCCATTGAAGGTCGGGAGGGGATTCTCTGACCTTGGACCGCTCTGACTCGGGCACAGGACCTCCATCTTCATCGGATTCAATTTCAGTCGGCTCTGTCTAAGCCAACCAGCCACAGCTTTCAACGCCAGGTCCAGATCTCCCAGACTAGAGTCTGACTGGCCGTCCAACAACAGATAGAGCTGGGTATCGTCAGCATATTGGTGACAACCCAGCCCATGTCTGCGGGCAATCTGGGCGAGGGGGCGCATATAGATGTTGAACAGCATTGGGGAGAGCACTGCACCTTGGGGCACTCCACACACTAGCGGGTGCCTTCTGGACAGTTGCTCCCCAACCGCCACCCTCTGTCCCCGATCCTGAAGAAACGAGGAGCGCCACTGTAAGGCAAACCCCTGAATCCCGGTATCGGCGAGGCGGTGGACAGTCCTACACAGGGTTTCTCCAACATAAGCCCAGGAAAAGAAATTCTGCATTGGATTGTCCTGGCCACAAATTTCATGGAAGTGCAGGAATTTGAACTCTGGTCTGCCCCATCACAATCTAACACTAATCACTATACTATACTGTCAATAAATATTGTTCCTGGCACCCAGGAAGCCCAAGAAAGAATCAGAAATTCCCCACTGGTTGGTGGACAGGTTTTCTAATCCACTTTGTTACACTGCCAGTCAAAAAAGTAAAACATCTCTCTCTCTCTCATCTCTGCCTACGGCGGATGAGTCACTCTGCGTGGGGTCAGTTTCCAAAATAGTAGTCTGACACAGAGCCAGATTTAGTGTAGGGATAAATATATACAAACATGCACCAATAAACTATGGCCACGGAAAACAGTGGTTGAATCTCGAGCACTGGCATTTTGCCATTCTGTCAGCCAAGGTGCCATCCAAACCGTCTGCCTCACCCTCGCCACTCACAGCATTTAACTATGCCCCCCCCAAGCAGGCATCCAGCCCTGAATGCCTTCCAGAAATTCATCAAGTCTGCTGACAGCAAGAGGGAGCTGGGCTGGCAAAGGGTTGACTTGCTACTCTTTGCACACACACCCCCCCCCCGTGGGATATGGTCTCTGGAGAGGCAGCGAATGAATCCTCGAAAGAAACTAGTGGCAGGGAGGACAAGATTGTAAACTGCTTTGGGTCCCCACTGGGAAGAAAAGCAGGGCATAAATATCTAAATGAAAATAAATTAGCATGTGTCATCACCAGTTACTGCCATTCTGGCCGAAGATGCGGATCAGAAAAAAACCTACGAAATACTAGTACTTACCGAAAAATCCGCTGCAGGGGCGGACGTGTGATCGCCGGCACGCCCGTCTCTCCCGCAGCATGCGAGGTCCTGCTGCACTGAGCATGCAGCAGGCTCGCCTCACTCTGCGCTCCATGGCTTCCCCCCAGCATCTGATCGTGCCAGGGAGAAACTGCGCGGCGGGGAGGGGGGTCTGCCTGATCCCACCATCGCGCTTCTCTTTTGGTGTGGCTCACAAAAGCCGCACTTTGGCCGCGCCTATTTCCCCCAGTGTGACCGGGGGCACAGTGTTGTTTTTGTGGCAAGAGATGAACACGGCTGTAGCTCTGCAACTTCACTGGGCTGCAGCCTGGGCTGAGAATCACCTCTAGGATTTTACAGCTGTGGAACTGGGGCTCTTAACCAGGCAACGGCAAAGAATTATTGTCAATATACCGCTACCCACAAGACAAGGCAATAACTCCAGTGCTAGCCTTCCCACAAGAAAAGAAGCCTAGAGGGAGGATCTTTTTTATTTTCTTAAAATGATGAATCAATCAAAATCATTACCTTTGAGCAGTAGGCGTCAATCAAATGTAATAACAGCCAGCTCCTCACAGCAGCCGTCTGAGATGATCAACTCTGGTGCAAGAGGAGAAGGGAACGCACCAGGCGATGCACCAGAGACCCAGGCAGAGGCCCTTCCAGCCAGGCCCTTTCAAAACACTCAGGGCAACCAGCATCCCCCCCCACACACACACGCACACGCACATGCACGCACGCACAATGACCCAAGTCTGCAACTGCGTAAGAGAACCTCCATGTTCAGCATCAACATGCCTCTGAATCCCCGGGGCAGAGGGACAACGTGGGCTTGGGGCCTTGACACTCTTGTAGGCTTTCTGGGGAGGGGGCCACAGTGAGAAACAGGACGCTGTACTGGACAGACCGTGCCTCTGGTGAAGCAGGTGGAGGGGGGAGAAGAGACAACGCTGCCAGGTCATGGTCACGGCAGCACCCAGGCTCTAAGTGGCCTCTCAAGAGTGACAGAAAAGGCTTCAAAAACAAGCCACATGTTGCCCCCGAGCAAGAAGCCCTGAGCTGGAAAGTGAACACTAGAACCTCCACATTCAGAAGAAATGGTCCTCAGAATTCTACCTGCCGGGGGGGGGGGCACAGGATGGCTTTGGCCTCCATGTCACTGAAGGTCTGTTAAGAAAAAGAACTATCTGCCAGCGTGTTTGTTGAACTTGAATCTGGAAGACTCAGGGCTGAATCCTCACTCCACCCTGGCATCCGGAACATAACCTTGGGCCAGTCGCTCCCTCTCTCGCAGCCTAACCTGCTGACTCACAAGGCTGCTGTCAGGATAAAATGGAGGAGGGGTGAATTATGTTCTAAGCTGTTCTGCATCCCCCTTGGGAAGAAAAGTGGGGCATATCCAAATTAATCAGATAGCTATACGTGACCATTATCCATCCCCCCCCCCCTCTATATCCTTCTTCCTTGACATTAGTCCTGCCTGGGTGTCATGGGCTGGGCTGGTCCAGGAGCCAGGTCCGGTCCAGGGGTCATAGCCTGAAGAGGCAGGACAGGAGCCGAGTCGAGGGTCCAAGAGAGTGGTCGTCTGAAGTAGGAGGTCAGGAAGCCAGGAAGCCAAACAGGAGCGAGGTCCGAGAGCAGGAGCCGAGGGTGGATGTGAGGTCAGCATGGATGCGACTCGTTGCTTCCACAGGAAGCCCAATCCCGAGCGGGAGCTCTACAGGCCTCCAGCAGTGCGTCCCTGAGCAGTGGCAGCACTCCTGTCAGTCCTCAGGGCTCGGCACCTGCCTTCTATGCTAGTGTGTTTCTCGACGGCGGGTTGTTAAATCCTTGCAGAGCCACTCCCTCAGCTGAGCCACCCAAGGAGGTGAATCCAGCGGGCTTTCCGTTTGCACCTGGGCCTCATTGGCCGCTGCAGGACCAGGTGTGGGGTTACTGACTCCGGTGCTGGTGGGGGCAAGCTTTCAACTCCTGAGGAGTCAGAGGGGCTGACCTCGCATCCACCCTCGGCTCCTGCTCTCGGTCCTCACTCCTGTTTGGCTTCCTGACCTCCTGCTTCAGACGACCACTCTCTTGGATCCTCGACTCGGCTCCTGTCCTGTCTCTTCAGGCTACAAATCCTGGACCGGACCTGCCTCCTGCCTCCCGGACCAGACCAGCCCGTGACTTCCAGCTCTGGCAATGCTGGCAACTCCAGCTGCATTGCTAACTCAGGCAGGGGCCCGGTGGCGCCAACGTCACTGCCCATGACACTGGGCTACAGTTCTGTTCTGCACCCAAACTTCCTAACCCCCCCCAAACAATCCAAGGCAAGCAAAGTGCGCAGATGTGGCTCTTTGCCTACCATGTTCTGGACACCAACGCTTGTTTTTTGGGGGGCATCTAAGCTCTTACCCACTTTTCATAACTGCCAGAAGCTAAAAATTTGCACCACCAGACAACTAAAAACCCATGAGTGAAGAAGGTGGAGAAGGGAAAAATCTGAGCTATGCTTAGAATCAAGGGAAAGATTTAATGGGAGCCCCGCAGGATCAGCCCAAAGGTCCATCTAGCTGGTCTACAAGCAAGACACAGCAGCCCTTGTTGCCGCCCCCCACTCAACCGGTATTCAGAGACAGACTGCCTCTCAACACAGAGCCTCCACTCAACCTTCATGGCCCACAGCTATCAGTGGAGTTGTCCTCCATACATACGCCTAAGCCTGGTTTCCAGTCATCTGAGCTGCCAGCCATGCACAACCTCCTGTGGCTGAGAGTTCTGCAACTCAGCCACACTTTGTGCAAAGAAGCACCTGTTGCTTGTCATTAGCGGTTGAGGGCCACTTACCACAGAGTGCAATGACATGGCTGCTGTCCTCGTGCACAAACTTCCGGGTGACAGCCTCTTCCATAATCTGCTTCACCTGGAAAGGGAGCAAAAAAATCATTGAGGGCAATTAGCACTCTCTGGCCACAGAAACACAGGTGGGATAAAATCAAAATACCTTGGCCGTAGGGTTTTCCTCCTATGTTAGGGGGCTGCACCCTATGGATCCAGGGCCATCTGTGACTCTTTTAAGAAGAAAATACAATTTTAAATGTTGTGGCTTGTAAAAAACAAGATCCATTCCAAGTGGAAACTACGCCGCTCCAGATAGTCAGCCTTTCGGACCTGTTCCTTCATTGGGTAAACCAGGTGTCTTCTGCAAAAAACTGTATATGAACAACACTAAGAATCACTTTAACCTACTACAAAATGCCATCTTATTTTTTACAAGCCACAATATACAGATGTTTGGACTTCAATTCAAAGACTTGTGAAATTTATATAAGCAATGCTTTTCTTTTGTGTGCTTGTTTTGTTAATGAAGGAAGTCTGCCGCTTTAGAGATGTGCCGTGATTTATTGTCAGTTTGAGTTTGTTACCACCCACTTTTTGATAATTGCTCTTTACATCATTTATGATTCTACAATAATATGTATGAATTTGGTCAAATTATTGACGTTGTGGTTCCTATATAATTATTATGGCATGTATTTAGCGTGCTTTGACTACAGATTTGTTTGAGATTCTGCTGGTTGTTTTTCTGTAGCCCCCTCCCTCTTGCTACCACCCGTATTTGGGCTGTGGAAGTTTTATGGATTCTTAATACACATGTCAATTATCAGTAATGTCGAGGTACCTGGTTTCAGGTATGCGAAAGCCTTTTCTTGTGCTGTCCCATTTTTGGTCTCTTGCTCTGAATTTTGATGCTGTTTGGCTCTTGAATTAGAAAATGCTGCTGCCCCCTGCCCTACCTCTGTCCTCCCTCCCATCAGGGCAATGAAAATTAATCTTGCCCTAACCCATCCCCCACCGGACTGCTGCCATCTAAAACAGAGACGAGGAGGACAATGTTGTAAGCTGCTTTGGGTCCCCACTGGGGAGGAAGGCTGGGTGTAAATAAAGGAAATAAAAAAGTGAGCAAGGCCACACTGGAGAAGGCGCTCAATTGGAGGCCAGGGCTCCATGGCAGAGCGCATCCTTTGCATGCCGGAAGGTCCAGAGGTCAGCCCCCGGCACCCCAAGCTGAAGGGTGAGAGACACACACACAGAGAGAACACGTTTGGCTCTGCAGAGGTCCTTGGGCAGACCCTCAGAGGCCCACAGAGCAGAGAGCACTGAGCTCCATGCAGGTTTTTTATATCTGTTCTTGTGGTTTCAAAACTTTCCTTGGAAAAGATTTTTCCACACCAGGTTTTCCTTGCAAACACACATCTGGGACTCCACGTGGGGACATGGCAAACACTTCCAAGAGCCAGGACGGTGCTGAAACTGGGGAGATGCAAATCCCTTGGCCAGTCACCTCCTCTCAGCCTAACCTTATTGGGCTGCTGTTCTGAGGGTAAACTGGAGGAGGGGAGAAATGCATAGGCTGCTATATGCTTCTTGGAAATGAGACATCAGAAAACTCGCAGGTAGGAAAAGGCGTCATTTATACCCTTTCCCCACTCCTCCGCTTGAAACTTCTCCCTCGTAAAGTGAAATATACTGGGTTCAGACGCGCAGAGTTATCAGCTCATAGTTTATTTGTGATTTCAGCAAATAAAAAGAAGACTAAGGATCCCTGACCATGCAAAAGGTTACACCCCAAACACACACCCACTCCCACGACAGGCTATTTACACTGCATGGTTATTCCACTGGTCTGTTCTAGGATCCCTGCCTCCCTACTGGTCCATTCTCAGATACTAGTCAGCTATTGTTATGGATCCTCAAGCTCTGTCCGAATGAACCATCAGCCGAAGTATGGTCTAGGCGCAATACATTACATGAAGGATGTCCTTTTGTTTTGTTTTTTTTAAAAGGGGTGCTTGTCCAGGTTTTATCACCCATTGCACTGTTTGGAATACTAACCGAAGGCCTAACTAGACACAGCAAGAGGAGGATCCACACAGACACACGCCCACCTGCTTGCAAACAGCAGCCAGAGTGGAAGGAAACCGTCCTGGGAAATGCTTTCCGCATGGCGTGGGAGGGGACAGGGGGTTCTTGTCCCCTTGCCCCCACACTCTGCTTGTCATCAATGGCTGTGTCTCTCCATTTAAGACAGCAATGCTGCAATCTCACGCATTCAGCTACTTGTCAAGCACAGAAAGAGGAATCCAGGCTCATCCCACAAGGACACGAGTTTCCTGAAAGATGTTTGCCGTGACCTTTTGAGCGCATTAAGAGGAGGGCTGGGCAGTGCAGGGTCAGAGCTGCGATGGGGGGTGGGGGGCCTTGCCATAAGGGTCCTTCCGCACTGACATTTCGCAGCACACCCCTCGGCTCAAATGGCTTCCAACACGGTCTCACTTTCCCGGTGGATCAGGAAGCAGAGGACACCCGGCAGTCTGTGAAGACGTGGGGGAGAAAAGGGCACGGCCGGCTGGGGGGCCAGGCGCGGGGGAGGGGCAGGAGCAGAACCGCTGCGGGAACAGCCCTCACCCTCAGCTGTTTTGGTGCGCGGTTAAGAGCAGCGGACCCTAATCTGGAGAAGTGGGTTTGATTCCCCCCCCTTCTCCACCTGCAGCCAGCTGGGTGACCTTGGGTCAGCCACAGTCCCCTCAGAGCTGTTCTCCCAGCCCCACCGACCTCAAGAGGGTGTACGCTGTGCGGAGAGGGAGGGAAAGCGATTGCAAGCCACTCTGAGACTCCTTCAGGTAGCAAAGTGCAGGGTATCAAAACCAATTATTATTATTATTATTCTTACTGGGCCTCAGATAAAAAGCTGACCCAGACAAGGGATGAGAGGACATGTCACATTTCAGGAAAGAGTTATTAAAAGCACTGAAACTTTGGAAGAGTGCGTGGGGGTGGGAAGAATACAGGCAGCCATGTTGGTCCCTGAGGGGGAAGAAAACAATGAAGCAGCAGGAGACCACCTTGGAAGATGAGACATTTAAGTGCCAACTAGATACAACTCTGTCGCTCCCTGAGTTCAAGACCAGACGTTTAGAGCTTCACCAAAGTCTTGGGCGGGGAGTACAATCATGCACAGAGCCTGTGGCTGGGGAAGGCTTTTCTTCACATCAGTATCCCTGATCCAAAGTGCCCACCGAGGGGACTTTAAGCCCCAGTAAGGGAAAACTTGGGTCCCTGTGTTGATCCTCCCCCCCCCTTCTGTGGCCCACAACCACCACCTTTTGAGGTGGTTTAGGCTGCTCCAAAGTCATGTCATGAGTTTTACAGTGGAAGCAGACTTTGAACCCAGGTCTCCTTGGCCAAACTACAATATCCACACTATGGCTCCGATCACACAGCAAAGTTGCCGCAGGAGAGGCACAGAAGGTGGGCGGATTATCCGGGCACGATCACACCCCAACATCTGGGAAGTGGCGCGCACCTGTGGCTTACCGCCGACAATGCACATTTAAAAACTAGTACCTCCAAGGTACTAGTAAACGTTTGCCACGGGCTGCTTCCAGACGCCCGTGGTGTGATCCCGCCGGCACGCGGCATTCCCCTCCGGTCCCTCGTTTACCCGCTGGCACCGAGGGAAGGACCCGTGGTGTGCCGCTGGCCCGTCTGATTGCGTAATCGCGGATCAAACTGCGCCGGGGCAATTAGCCACGATATCTGGCCCGTGTGACCGGGGCCCTATGTTGGCCAAAAGTTTAGGTTAAAACATGGTTCTCATTTAGGGGTGCCAACTCTGGGTTGGGAAATTCCTGGAGATTTTAGGGGGGGAAGGCTTGAGAGGGTGGGGTTGGGGGAGGGACCTCAGGGGGTATCCTGCCAACAGAGTCCACCCCCCAAAGCAGCCCTTGTCTCCAGGGGGACGGAGGTCATCTGGAGACCAGCTGGAATTCCAGGAGATCTCCAGGCTACACACCTGGCGTTTGGCAACCCCCCCTGCTCTCCGGGATAGGGAAGGGAGAGGTTAAGAGTCAGGGAACTGCTCTCTTCCCTGGTGCAGGTGGCATGCTGGTTGGATCCTGTACCAACGTGATCAACCGTTGCACATTTGGAAGTTCTGTGAACAGCCTGGCCAAAGCCCCCCTAGCGAAAGCAGGAGCGCTAACAGCTCTTCTGACGCAACTGAACAGCAACCCGACACTCGGCAAACAGCAGTTGCCAGCCGCTCTCTTCTTCCCGACGACACAGCCGGGGTTCTGACGTGCCACCAAAGAAACCCTCCACGGGGCAATCGCCTGGAGAAAGGCGAGAGGCAGGCCAGCCTCACTCCCTTACACAAGGGCTGCGTGGGCCTCTGGGAGATGCAGCCACGCCCTCTGGAGCAACCACCGCTGTGTGCGTTGTGAATGCACTGTGAAACACGGCTCCAATCTCAACAACACAAAGCTGCAACAAGAGACCGCATTACCCAGCAGACAACACATTCTACTTGTGCATGTAGCTGAAACGCACCGTTTCTACCACCGGGACAGATCGATCACCTGAAGAGATGATGCAGGCAGTGCTGGAAAAAAGCAACTCTTTTTTTTGGGGGGGGGGGGCGGACAGACAGGGCTGTGGCTTCATTCTCTCTCTTGGGCAATGGCTGCGGATTCCTAAATCCACACCTCGGACCAGGATGGCGGGAAGGATTTCTGACTTATACCTTGAATAAAATTTTGTTGGTCTTCACGGTGCCACTGGAGTCAACATTTGATGTGGTTTTTGTCAATTTCCACCAGAATTATCAAAATACATTAAAACTGGAAAGGATCTGATCACTTCGATAGAAGCGACAGTTAGATGCATTTAGCACTGTAGCCATGTACAACTGCGTTTTCGGAACACCCTTCTGTAATTTGCACAGCTAAGAGCCTTCATGTAAAGCCACTTGTCTGCATTATACTGCAGGCATCAAACACTCAAAAACCCCACTTAGCCCCTACCCACTTCCTAGAAACACCTGGCAGGTGCCAGGACACCCAGGAGTACCAAATGGGGATC